TCCATGAATAGTAAATGTGACCTTTGAAAATGTATGTACTTCACTTTTATTATTATCTGAGTATATGATATTAGAATGATCTTTTTTCCCCCTCTGCATTTTTTTTGGTATTTCTGTTCTTTTTTTTTTAATATATATATGACAGTGGAATGCATTACACTTCTTATTACACACATAGAACACGATTTTTCATTTCTGGTTGTATACATAGTATATTCACACCAATTTGTGTCTTCATACCTGTACTTGAATAATAATGATCACCACATTCTACTAGGACATATCTTCTTGATGAATTTTCTTTTACCATCTATCATTAACAATGTTTTTGTGAGTTAGGTTAATAAAGTTGATTAATATTGCATTATTTTGCTTAGTATATTTTCCCCATTCTTTTAATATGTGTCATTATTTTTTAATGTATTCTAGTAATCAATGTACCACTGATATTAAAAAAAAATCCAATCTGAGAATATTTGCTTTTTCTTAAGCAAGTTTATATATTTCTTATTATTATTATATATTGGGGGATATTCCACCTCATTTTGTTTTGTCTAATTTCCATGTGTTTTCTCTTATTCTCTTATTCTGCCTTCTATTGATATGGTTATTTTATTTAATCCCTTTTATTCTCATTAGTGTTTTGAAAGTTATTCTAGTTCTATTTTTTCTATGGGTGTTCCAACATGATTAATGTGCATACTTGACTTAGCACTATGAAGTTAATCAGTATCTCTAGTTCAATGTAAAGATTTCAGGAGCTTTAGAATTATTTATTTATTTTAAATAGTTTTTTAGTTGTTGATGGACCTTTATTTTATTTATTTATATGCAGTGGTTGAGAATTGAGCCCAGTGCCTCATACATGCTAGGCAAGTGCTCAACACTGAACTATAACCCCAGCCCCTAGAATTATTTATTTCTAATCTCTACCCTCTTCTGACATCTAAGCAATTTGAGTTTCAGTATTTTAGTTCTAACTTACTTTAACCATTTACCCACTTACCCCACAATTAGATGTTTTAACAACCAATGTTTGTTTATATTTGCAAATCTGTGTATCAGTTTCTTTGCTTACTTTTTATAGAAATACGGCTAGTATACAGTAAAACTCACCCTTTTAAAATGTAAGTCTATAGTTTTGAATATATTTTAAAAATTATGTAACTAGCCAGGCATAGTAATATAAGATCACAAGTTCAAGGACAACCTCAGGAACTTAGTAATACTCTCTCTCAAAAAAGAAATAATGAGGGCTGAAGGTATAGCTCAGTGGTAGAGAGCCCCTGGGTTTAATCACAAATACCACAATAAAAGAAAATTTTGTGTAACTTTCAACACTAATTTTAGAACATTGTGGTCATTCTCCAAAATAACAAACAAACCCATACCCATTTACCATTACTAATCACTCCCAATTTCTCCTACTCCAGTCCCTGGAAACCACGGATCTACTTTTGTTTCGTGGATTTGCTTATCCTGGAAATTTCATATAAATGAAAATCTAGTTTATCTCATTTCTAGCTACTTTACTTGGCAGGAAATGAAGCTCCATCTTCTATGCTTTAGTATTCAGTGGAGACCCAGTTCACTACTCAGAAAGATTATCTGAATTGCCAAAGCCATAAGACTTCAAGTGGGTAAACAGGTTTTGTGTTCAGTCTGTTTGTCCATAAAATTTCAAGCAAGACTTCCAAGGTATCTTAAGGGTAGATTGGTACCTTTGGTTTCTCTCCATCATTAGTCTTTATGGACAATTTTACTGGCATTTTGCTGAAGCAGATACTCTGAAAGAGGTTTCTCCTGTTTACTAGGTAAGGCTGTTTTGGGAGCAGAAGAGGGTGGAGTAGAAAGCAAACAGGGGAAGCCATGTTCTCATGAACCTGAGAACCTCTAGAAAGACGTAGAGGCCAACAGGTATTTCCCCCACTATCCAGAAACATCTCCAAGCTCCTTTGAGGAGGATAATTTTCTTAAACTTAGCAACATTTATACCAAACTTAGAGTTGCCTTCTCCCAAGACTTCAACCTAAAAGGGTATATTTATTTGAATAGTGCTTCCATTGCTTTAAGAATTTCTATACCTTTTATTTGAAAATTGGCTGCAAACCAGACAACACTTTATTTTAAGAGATGGGCATGCTCTTGCAATGGGGGAATTATAAATTGGTTTTCTTTCACAGAGCAATTTGGCAGTGAGCATCATGAACCTTAAAAGAGTTTAAGCCAGTTGGCCTAGAAAAAACATTTCTAGGAATACTTCTTAGGAAAAGAGATGCCAACAAAGACATGTATACATATGCAGTTTATTCATTGCAGCATTTTTTTTGTAAAAGAGTAAAAAGAAAATGCCCCACAATTGGGAAATTGTTAGGTTAATTATTGTATACACACTGAATAAGATAATGCAGCCATTTAAAATGATATTTTTAAAGAATCATCCATGTTTTTTGAAGATGTTAACAATAGCTAATAAAATCACACTATAAAAACATATACATTGTATAGTCTCATTTTTACTTCTTATATGCTAAAAAAGGCTCAAGATACACCCAAAATGTTAATAGTGGTTTTATCTGGGTGATGAAATTATAGAGGATTTAAAATTTCATTATACTTTTATACAATTTTATTATTGTGACTATAAATATTACTTTTATAATTAGAAAATTATGTATAATGAACATTGACATTGCTTTTAAATAAAGAAATATATTTTACTGGGAGAGAAGACATATACACCCAAGGAATTGAAGATTTAATGGAGGAAATCAGACAGGTACACAAATAAAGAGTGTTGCAAGGCAATAACGGCAACAACAGAGTTTTTACCAAGAATAGAGGGAACGCTCTACCTGATAGAGTTGAAGTTTGGTAAAAAGAGAAAACATTTGTGCAGGGTCTTGAAGGATGAATAGGAGTTCTCTAAGGCTATCTAAATTGTTAAGCACTATGTAAGTGGAAGTTAGTCTTTGGCCTTTATTATTACTGCCAAGACTTACCTCATATAAAGCTCTCTTTCTTGTCTCTTTCCCATGGTCCCTGAAGCACAGGATTGCTGGGACAGGAAGCAGCAGCAGTTAAAACAGTCACACGTCAGTGCTCCAGCAAGTGAACTGAGGTGCATCCAACTAAGGCCCAGATTCAGGACCAAAGGACATAAAATTATCTGGGAGCAGAGCCAGGAAGGTGCTGGTGGGTAAACAGTTCCCCTCTGTTTGTCACCCTGTGGAAAGACTGGCTTTGCTTGGGGCCTCCACCCTGACTATGGGGCCATCTCTACCTGGGGGATGGTAAAAACTGAGAAAGAGTATCACACATCAGTCTGTGATTTACATTGGCAGGAAATGATGTGTCAGATGTCTTACAGCCTCCAGACAGGGTGGAGTGGAAAGAAGGGGTGTGAGTGAGGGGACCAGGAAGGGTGGTAAGAGATGATCTGTTCTGGAGAAATTTTTGGAAGCTCGAGATTGGAAAGGGTTTCAAAGTTTTCTGATCTGTTCCTCCTGGTCCTCCCACCAACAATCCCATTACATTGTTATACTTCTCTGCTTTCAGGGTGCAGCTCAGCGGTCACATCTTCTGTTACCACCTACCTCAATTCCTCTTGCCTTATTAATTTCATGAAAAAAAACCAGTGCTTTTAGTGTGCCAGGCCCTATGCTTATGTTAGGTTTTTTGACTGCAGCATGCACTCCTGTGCCTCCAGTTGTTTATTTTGTCATGTAACAGACATGTATGGAACACCTACAGGCAATGCTCCAGATGTTTTAACAGAGTGGAGGAAGAGACAGCCAGGATCTCAGGTTCTCATGAACCTGTCTGTCACTCTAGTGGGAGAGACAGATAATAAACAAATTAAAAATATGAAAATATCAGGTTATACATGGCACAAAGCAGCCAAAGTTTTTACCACCTCTCAATACCACCATGCTAGGGACCAAGCTAACAGTCAGATGAACCTTTGGGAGACAAACCACATCCAGACCATAGCAGAAGAAAACAATAGCAGTATGCCTGGAACACCCTTCCTTCTTTATCTGCAAATGAAAATCTTATCATGCATCTGAACTCAATTCAAGTATTGCCTCTTCAGGCAAATCTATCTTGATTTCCCAGGTAGAAGTGACCACTGCCTCCCCATTAATCCTGAGTGACTTGTGTGTGCACAGTGTAATGCTCTGCCATTGTTACCATTCCAAATCATTGCTACTCTTTAGGACAGCACTGAGCTCCTATGTAAATTTCCAATGCATAGCACAGAGCCTGGCACAGGATCTGTGATTAGTAACCATTTGTTTCTGGAATATATGAAATCTCTCATAGCACTCTATCAGAACCTCCCTGATGGTGCTTATTCAGACGTGGCAACATTTATTGATCACTGCCAGGCCTTGTGCTTTTACTGGCCTCACAACTGCCATGTGCAGTATTATTCTATTCTGTAGTTAAAACTCAGACCATCAAAGAGACTACCTGAGGAAGCTTAGTAATATAAATCAGAGTTGAGATTCAAGCCCAAGTCCTCTTGATGCCAAATTCCAATGCTTCATCTCTTATGTGGTACCACTGGCAATGCATTAGTTCATCCATGGATCTGTCTTCTCTTAAAGAACCACTTCCCAAAGGAAGGCTCTGTACTTGTCTCCATTCTATATTCCTTCTGGCACCAGAACAGTACATATTCAGTACATATGTCTTAAACCTACAAGAGGTAGAAAAGAAAGAATGAATGTGTGAATGAATGCTTCAGATATCAGTTCATGGGAGGGTGTTGAGCTGGAGGAAGAGGAGCTTCTCAAGGGGCTGATATCTCCAGGTCTTCTCTAGGAGGACCTGGGGAAAGCTGAGGACACTGTTTCAGGTCTAGCTCATTTCTTAGAAATCACACGTTTTGCTCAACTGCACATCTTAGCAGGCAGGCGGGCAGGCAGGGCAGAGGGGAACATGCATGGTTTCCAATGAGTTGGGAAAATGAGGTTAGGTTTCGATTCAGATAGTTATTTGTGTTTTCTGGATCTGCACGGTCGATAAATTTCCAACGAGCAGTGATTCTGTTCCTCATCTTTCACTGCTTTATGGGACATCAGGGAACGAAAGCATAACATCCTGCTTTCCCATAAGTTCTCTGGCCGCTATCCTGGCACCAATTAAAGACATGTCTATGCAATTAATCAAAACCAATTTGGAAGCACTCTGGCGCTGTTCCTCTGATGTGCTGCCTGCTCTACATACAGTAGTTCCTCAGCTGCAGTGATGGAGCCAGGCACATAGGGGCTTTTGATGAACTGGCTGTGCTGGCCCCAAGTGTTAACTATGTCATCTGACATGACTAATGAGGCTCTGGACTTGATCCGCGTGAGTGGAGCAGCCCTGCTGTCTGGAGGAGGTTCAGTTTCCGCAGCCAGCCTGGGAAGAGGGTTCAGCATTTAGGGTCCACACTCCATCATGTCAGCTGGAGTCCTGGAGGCCTCTAGTGTTGGAACTGGGAGTCGTCCACTGGGAGGGTGATGGAAATTGTGGGCAGAATCTGTGCTGGGCGCTGGCGTAAATGTGACCCAATTTAAACTTCAGCCTCATTTATCGACATGAAAACCAAGACCCAGCAAAAGTGTGGGGCTTGCCAAAGACCTGAGTTTGAGAGAGAGAAAGGAAAAGGGATGGCTTTTGACCTTGAGAAATTAAACCACTAGTGGAGCAGGTAAATGGATAATAACTGGGGCTGGATGCAAATATATGCTATCAAGGTTAAACCACAGGGTTCCTTCCTTCCCTTTGCAAACCTTTATCAGGGAGAATGGTTGCCTACGCCACTGTCACCTCAACAATGCCAGGAGAATGGGATGTGGATCAGAGATATGAATTTGAATCCCAGCCCTACCTTGAGTTGATATAATCTTGGGCAAATCATTTCATTTTTCTGAGCTTTGGTTTCCTCAGCTGTAAAACTGGAACAAGTAAATATTGCCCACCCAGCCTACTTCCTATCCTATAGTGTCTTTGTGAGACTTGACAGAGTTAATATGGGTATGACAGAATAAGAGTCTTTGTATATGTTAGTTTTTAATCATATTATCACCCCCTCTAAAGAGCACTGGCTGAAATCTCTGGAATATGGATCTACAGATAACTTTAACTCTTTTCCTCTTCCTGCCTCTTTCAGAATGCTCAGGAAAGAAATGGATATAAAACCAATTGGTCATCTGCCTATAATCCCAATAGCTTTCCCAGAGAGTCCATCACATATAAAGAGGAAGAACTCAGCCATTGTAATTTAATGTCATTCCACATGTTGATTGAGCACCTACCATATGCCAGACTTGGCCATGCTGTGTGGGGAATCAGAATTGAATAAAACATGTTCCTTGGCCACCTTGAGAAGCTCACTAGTTAGTAGGAGAAACAGACATGGACATAAATAACTATAATGTACTGCAAAAAAAAAAAATTACAATTGCCATAGGAAAAATACAAGTCAAGTGCTTTGTGAGCCAGAGGAGGGAATGATTCATTCCCCAAAAGGACACTGGGAAAAGGTTCATCAAGGAAATGGTACTAAAGCATGAACAGGGTTTAGCTTTCTCAAGAAGCAGGAGAAAAGGCACTCCAGACTGAGAGAACAATGTGGGCAAATGTGTGGCATCTGGAAAGGAATGGTGACCTAAAGGACAGAATGAAATCAAGTGAGGTGTGAATATGAGTATGAACAAAAGAAACCCAGGCATGGGCATTGCTGTTGCATTTTGCTTTTCTGGCTGATGTCACCTTGGCCTCTGTCTCTCAATCAGAATCTCAAGCAGGCCCTTCCTCCAGTGCAGTTAACTAAAGCCCCCGCCAGGAAAGCTAATGACATGAAAAATGACAGGGAACCAACAGATGAAAACACTCCCAGGCTAGATGGTGCTGGATCCCAGCTGTACCTCCCCAGCCAGGCAAGAGATTCATGTCAGATGTGGCAATGACACCAACACTGCAGAGAACCAAAGCCTCTTGGCCTGGGTCACATGCTGCATTTTTCTCCTTCCCTCCACTGTCCAGGAGGAGCCAGCTTCTTTACCAGTGCTGCCATCAGAATGACTCTGGAAGACCCACAGCTACAGATGGACTCCAGGCATGCTGTGGGCCACCCCAGAGGTTCACATTTTCTCCGTCCTTTCCCTCTTTCATTATAAATTGGTTTTTATTGTGCAAATGATACAGTGATAAGAATGGAAACCCTAAAAATAAGAGAAAGAGGAAAAAGAACACTCACACATTACCTGTTCCCATTTCTCCTTGCTCATTTCTGCTCTTTTCTGGGACATAATTGCTTTTGGTTGCTTTTATCTCTGGTACAACTACACATTCTATTTTTATTATTATTATTATTTTGGTACTAGAGATTGAACCCAGCGGCATTCAACTATGAGCCACATCCCCTATTTTGTATTTTATTTAGAGACAGGGTCTCACTTAGTGCCTCACTGTTGCTGAGGCTGGCTTTGAACTCGTGATCCTCACACATTCTATTTTTACTGCTCAGCATTGTATTTTAGTATTTTCCATTTTGCTATTCACCAGTGTCCATGCAGTCTTGCCCTTATTACCCAAAACTGAACAAAAATGCCAGTAGCCATGTAAAAGGGACTTCCCTTAGATAACATGATCTTTATTGATGATTAGCATCATGTTGCAAAGGAAAAACACTGCCCTGCCACCACATTGACTTGAGTTAATCTCAGCTCCTCTACTTTGAATCTACATGCTCTTGGGTGGATTACTCCATCTCTTTGAGTTCTTAGGATCTTATTTGAAAAAATAAATATGGTTTTAGTACCACCTGTATTGGACTGCAGAAAGAATTAAGTGATACCAAAAGGAAATGCTCAAAAAAAGGTAGCTCCCCTTATAGAGGTTCACCCAGCATCCACCTTGCTTTTTTCTCTCTTGCCTACATTTGACTACCTTTCCTTCCCCAGGCCCAAAAGAACTCCTGGGAAGCTCACCCAAATTCTGACAGGCATATTGGTCTGCATATTTATTGCTCATTGAGTGAATGTGCCATCCTTTACTTACATATTCTCCACTGATGGAAATTTTGGTTATTTTCCAATCTTTCACTATTTTCAATAATGATACAATAAATATTTTAGTGGATAGTGCTCACCCATCCTTTAAAAACTGCATCTCCTTAGGAACAATTCCCAGGAATAGATTCACTAATATAGAGGTTAGAAACGTTTTTAATGGCCTCTAAAGTAAATTTCTAAATTGTTTCCCAAAAGGTTTGTGCCTGTTACACTGCCATAAGTTCAAGGGAGAGGACCACTTGGGCTGCATTATAGGTCCTTGGACTCTGGCTGCAAATTTCTCTTCTTGCTTGGTTTCCTACTATTTTTTTTTCTCCCAAACTGCCTCCCAAACACCCACACTGCATGGGACAACTAACTATTTCCCCCACAAAATGATGCTCCTATGCTTTTGTGCCTTTGTATTTCCTATTGATCTTTACCACCCTTGTCCAAGAATAACTTCCATTATAATGCCTTCTCACCTAGAGCTCAGCCCCTGTGGAACTGGGCATGTCTATACTCCCTGAAGACTCAGCTCAAATCTCTGATTCTCTGTGAACTAGTTCCAATTCTGCCCAAAAGGGTTAGTCATTTCTGCTATATGTGATGCCTAGAGGGACCTTTGGCATCCAAGTGTTCACTGAGAAAGAATCATTTCCAACCCAGCTAACCAATCTGTGTCTCTTTTCTCTCCCTGCTTCCTCAACCTCTTGCACTGAACAATCACCATGTTATACTGAATTATCTAAATATTCTTGGATCCACTTTTCTCTTTCTCATTACGTTTGCTATTGGCTATTGCCTCTCATCAGGATTCTTGCAACCATCTCCTAAATTTAATTTTTTTTAAAAAAGAGTAAATGCACATAGCTCAAAAGTCAAAATTTTCTCTAGGGTTTATAATAAAAATAGTAGAGTCCTGCCCTATCCTTCCCCACTTCTAACTTTGCTCCTCAGAGACAACAAAATACTTTTTAATTCATTCAGTTGTTTCTTTGGTATATGCTTCCATTTTCCCAAAAGATACTTATACTGCTGTCTCCTGATCTTAAGTTCAAACATTATCTACTGACTTTGACAATAGATTTCTCATTTTCTTGCCTATAATCCAGTATACTAGACCTATAATTATATCATAATTTTTGGTTAAATAATTGTTCAGTACTTACATATTATAAGCAGAATTACCATGAAAAATATTTTTTTTCTCTGAGATGCCAACATCCCCTCCAGGATTGCTGTCTCTCCTGGTAAGGTCTAAGCCTGCTGGGGGCAGGCAGAATACTTAGGGACCTGGGATTATGCATGGGAGGTGAGGCAGGCAGGCGGGGGGCACCAGAACAGACTCTGGATGTTTCCCATGCAGGGTACCTGGGCAGGCAGGTGTAGCAAGTAAGGCTGACATAGGCCTTCAGAGGGAGCCAAAGGCAGTGCCCAGAAGGGACTGGAGGCTGATGGTATAAGTACTAACTGATCTAAACAGATGCTGGCCTTTTGGGCAAGGTTCTAGAGCCCCTGGCTATACCTGGTATTGTATTTTTAGTGCTAGATCCTGGGAAGTTCTAGAGAGCTCTAAGATAGGGAAGTGTGGGCAGGGGCAACCAGGGCAGTGGCAGCAGAATACAGAGTTCAGGGTAGTTAGTGTCTACTAACCAGCATAGAAATATTTCAATTGTTTAACAATTAATAAGGTCCAACAGAACTAGCACAGTCTTATTGGCTCTGATTATGACTCTATGAATATTAGTCACAATCAAGTTGTGTAAAGCTCTATAGTTAAGTTTTCATTCTTGTTAAGATTTTAGTTTTTTCCTAGAGTTAATAACTGCCTTAATGTTTTCTTTTGATTAGTTTCTATATAACCATCACTAAATCTTCTTCCAAACTCTTTGGTGGAACAGTATCAGGAATTTATCATTTCTAGCTATAACCCAGATACTATGCTAGGCAGCAGGGACTCATCTAGGAGAAAAACAGACATGGTCTCTGATTTCAATGAGTTTATAGTCCAGCAAGGGATCAGATATGAAGCACAGTTATCCATTGGAACTCATGGGTGGTTGATTCCAGGACCACTCTAACAGGTGCCAAAATCCACAGATGCCCTTTATATAAAATGGACTAGTATTTGCATATAACCTACATGCATCCTCCCATATACTTTGAGTCATCTTTAGATTAGTTATAAACACAACACAATATAAGT